CAGGCGATTGGCAACGAACTCACAGAGTCGTCATTCCTGTTAGAAGGAGTCGTCCTGACTGACTCTTTCTAGGTCTAATATTAAGGTCAACTGGGGTCGCAAACCACCAGCAGAAATAATGCTGATTTTCATATTCTTGTGTGTACCTGTGCGAAATTTAGGTGAAACAGTAGCATAGCATATTAGATGTTAATTGACGCAATATTACTACAGCCCGGATGATGGTATCAGCAATGGCAACAAAGCGAGTAGGTAAGCCTTTTCCATTTTTGTTTTACGCTTAGACATCTTAATCATTCATTGAAGAGATGGTCCTTTGATTGCTCAAATGAACTAGACACTTTTATATTTTCAACTTTAAAGAATATCTTTATCAGTTTAATAATTTTTGTCCAAAGCTCAGATAATATGTCGCATCATAACTCGTGGTTTCCTTTAGTTTGGGACCGTTCGTAATTACCAACGTAATTACTACTCACTTTTGCAGTTCATTTCCTGATGCTCATCCACCTTTTCAAGGACTTTCAGCTGAAAGCCAACACCTGAAGGTTAAACGTTCTCCTTCCTGAACAGCTAACTTCTGAACGCTCTCAACATATTTCCAATTTACTTGCTGATGGTTCGACGTCTTTCACAAACAGCTAAGAGATTTGGCTGGTCTAAGTTTGGAGGGGTCTGCTCCAATGCTGTTATCTCGAAAAATTCAATTTTCAGTACCGTATTAATGTTTTTTTACTTCATCATCAAGAGCAACAGTGCATAAGGGGTGTCCGATCCTGAAACATCGTTCATGATGAGGGCGAAATAGCTCTAGCGAAAAAAACATAGGCAAATAGGACCAAATGGGTGGTGTAGTAGGCGGTGAGATCCGATCTTTGGGGAATATGCTTTATCTGATCTTGTTCTTGGTGAGAACACCGCTCATTGAATAAATCTATTTCTGCCAAATTTTGTTTCCATGCTCTTCTTGTTGAACACCGTAGTCTCATAACCTGTTTTTGTATTTGATATATGGTACATCATGCTCCTATTTAAATCCTTTGGCATGAATGTATATTTCAACGCTCTGCTGCCAGCTGTGCTTAGCTGGTGCAGAATAAGAGCCAAAGCAATAGCAATTTGTGGTATACTAAAAACAGTAATTTTTAATTATTTCATAAATAACCGTAAATTTCAATTGCCAAAAGAACACTTTTAGTTCTTCATATTTTAAAAAACAATGGTTGAAGCCATGACGTACATTGTTCCTCAATTTGCACTTCACCGTTAGCATAGACTGGTTAAAAATATTATTCAGCTTCTGTCCTGGAAAACTTTGCCGTCCATCGCTCGCCCAAATTTCTGTAGTTTGCGGTCACGAAAGCGCCTTTGTTGCAGTCGATGCTGGCACAGGGCCATCAAAAGGACATGCGGAGCTAACGCTAGCGCAGACAGGAGTTATGTGCCGAACGCCGCCATGAACAAGCCGCAAATGACCTCACCCGCGCCAGCGAGTCCAGACAAGCCCTCACATCGACGCCACCTTCCGTTGACCAGTCTCACAGCCATCCATCGTTAAACGGTGACGAATCGCCGGTGACATCGATGACACAATCATTCGACCGGCTTTCGTCACTCGTTCGCTGTTTGGCCAATAACCCAGTCGGTCGGCTGACCGTGCGTGCCTCACTTAAGCTTAGTGCATTCCATATGACCCCGAATCTCTGCTATCTGAAACCATGACAGGTCATGGCGCATTGACCTGTTCGAATGTGACCTTCGCCGTGGCAGCCAGCGTCGTCCGCACTAAAATTATTACACCATGTCAGCTAGGCAATAAACATGAAATGTCGAGGTACCCAAGTTTAAGTTACGTTTGTACAACCTCAGACGGTGAGAACAGCTTCAAACTGTCGTTATCACCTTATCACTTTATACCAGCTGCTGATTTCATATCTATCCCGTGGTAACCGTTGTGCGGAGATTAGGTGGTATAATAATACATTACGTTATTTTAGACACACACACGTCATCAGTGATCATAATCTTTCCGCATATATTTATTGCCAGCATATCTCTCTCGTAGAAAAAATGTGCCTCATAATCGACACGGTCAATTGCCACCATTTCCATCGCATCGTAGTCCATATCTTGTTGCCTACTATTTAAGAAGCAAACCATAGGTTAAATTGCACATGCAAAGCCGAACAACAAGAGTGAGACCTGATAGACATAAAGTAAATAAATCCTTGTTTGAGTGGTGCAACACACTGAAACGTATTTCGGGGTCCTCTTCAGACGTTGCTGAAGTTCATCTAAGCTAATGGTATAGTTTATTTGAGACTTTGATCATGAGCCTTTTGCCATCGCTTCTTCATTGGTTAGCCAATGGTGATAACGAAGATTCGAAATCTCATTCTTGAATCATCTGCTAAAGAGTATATGTATTGTTAACGATACATATGTTGGTATTTGTAGTATTGCATCGACTTTCTTGGTGTTTCTTTGATATGCGTAAAAAATAGCGGTTGAATAAAGTAATACACATTTATATGTATATGTTATTAGATGTTGAGAGACATGGTCATACGTGGTACTATGGACTGGAAATAATTTGTCCTTTAATGCAGACCAGTAATATCTGGTTTATCCCACGCACTGCCTAAGCATCAGCCTACTTCACAATTATGGCGTAACTTAAACATGAAGGTAGCATTGCTGATGCTCAGGAATAATCCAGCGAAACCTAGTAATGACCCAATGAAACCACAGTATACTATTGGCTTGGACTAAATCGTAAATCAGTTTTGGTCCATTCCGATATTGACGGATTAACACTGTCAAAAGCGATGCATGCCACTGGACATGCCAATTCGTTCATACTTTCATATAGTGTTCCTATATTTTCAAGTGACTTGTTTATCATTGGGATCATCAATCTATTTACTCGTCTGTACCGTGGAGGTTTAAACTTCCGGTCATTTTACCAAATTGTAAATTAATTTTGGTATGTATCTTCTCCATATTATTCCGGAGAAAACAAACAAGTAGGAACGGAGTAAATAGTCACTCGAGACAGACTCTTGTTTACGATTCATATATCAGCCGCTAATATCCAGCGTATGAACAAACTATGTAGTTGATGAACATATATTATGGATGGCGATGTTGCTACAAATACATGTTGCGTTTAAATATGACACTTAGACTGTTTTCATTATGCTGACCAATGCCTCTTTTACCAATAAACGGCGGCCGTTAATTTTAAACATTGTTTCTCACGTGTTTTCCTTATGGATGAGACTTTGAGTGATCAACAATGTTGAAATAGATTTTCGTATAACATAGTCGCCCCTGGTCATGCCATGACTGACCAAACTGAACCAGCGATGATTGATAACCATTAAGCAAATTACCGTATCACAGAATTATCATCGTTATCGCAAATAACAGCAAAGGTCGTCTATCAGACTTGATTCATTGGCGAGATCAGTGGTTTTATTCCTTTGATTTGCTCCGCCTTTGAATGCTCTAAACAGCGGAAGATCGACTCACCCGTGACGAAGGATGTTCCAGATTCATACATTTTTACACGATATATGTTCTTTATGAATGTTCAGAAACTGTGAGTGCAAGACTGTCACAAGTTTACCTGGGTTTTTTGCGTCAATATCCTTCTACGTAAATTTTAAGTGATATTAAATAATACAATGTCAATAATTTTTTTATCCCGCCCTCCCCCCTCATCAAAAAAAATTTCCTGTTGTTGCGTGCCATGTATCAAAGGTGCTTCTTTAATACAAAGAGCATGAGTTTCGACCATATATTTTAGAACCAAGAAAATGTTTCGCTTTTTAAACCATGCAAGGTGGTAGGAGTTTCATGGTTGGCCAACTGAAATGAAGGAAGACGGCTAAATGCGGCTAGCGACGCCACAAACATGAGAAATTGCAGCAGTTGACCATGACGTGTACATAATGTTTTTTTTTGCATGACTGGACTTTAAAACATTTTGGAAACGATAAAATAATTCACGATTGTTAATGACCATGAACTGCTGCTTACGGTGGTCATTTCGATTTGTACATCATGCTACCGTACATTTTGTTGACGGTGTTTATTCATCCATTGCTAATAAGTGTGCTAGTCTGATTGAAATGCGATTGGCCTCAGGATCGTCGTTAATCATGATAATTATAGCTAAATAACAATAATGCTGAAGTCCCAAAGGTTTCACGTGATGCTAAATGACCTAATGTTAATATACTGTTTACAACCAGTGTTTCAGTAATACAGTACAATTGCAATTTGTTTTAAATATTTGAATTCAGTCAGGTTCTATTGCTTTCTTTATGTGCCACACCTATGGCAATGCTGTGTCTTGATACTTCGATTGAAATTTTACTTTTTTTAAAGTTTTAGCTTACCTTGGAGACCAGAATGTCATGGTTTTCAATTTGAGTGCAATTCAGACCGAAGAGGAGGTTATGAGGGCAGAGATTCACTGCCATGTTGGAGTGAAAAAGAAGCGAATGGGATGGAACGTGAAGTGCTACCATTTGTTTTCTCCCGCTGGAATAAGGAAGGACTTGGCGATGATCAATTTCGACAATTCGAACGGATGGATCACATTCGACGTCAGAAGTGCGGTCTCTGCGGCGATGCAGAACTCCTCTAGTCAGTACGCTACGAATAACCCTACGAAGCTGATATCGGTCTTTTGCACGAGTTCGCCTCAGCTGGTCGGACGTTACTCGCCTCGTCGTTTGAAACTGTCCCCACACGACAACGCGTTCCTCATCGTTCGCTCCCAAGCCAGCAACGAGCAGCGTCTAGAATCAGCGGCTGTCATGAACCAAAGCAGCGACGGCTTGCCGGGGCGGCGACAAAAAAGAAATGACAACTACTTTCGGTACTTCTACGAAGCGTCCCCGACCGAGAACGCATCGACGACGTCGTTCCTCACGAATACCCTTCTGAGGCAGATGAAGAGCTTTCAGGAGATGGGGCCGGCGGTACTGCATCCTTACAGATACAAACGAAAACGAGACAGCAAGAAACGCACTCAAACAACGTACATGTCAGACAAAGTTCTCGACCGCAACGATTTTCCTCCATTCGGCGTCACGAGCAAGGCTTCGAAAGCGGCTAAGGAACTCACCAGCACCTCTGAAGCTACCTCTGCCGTTCATCAAGAGACACTTGTTCTTCTTCCAAGCAACGGCTTCGGTGACAACGAACACGTTTGCCAAAAATTTCACATCGTCGTCGACTTTCGCGACATTGGCTGGGGCGAATGGATAATAGCTCCAACAACTTTTGAAACAAACTACTGTGCCGGTTCCTGCTCATTTCCAATCAAAAACGTAAGCTATATTCTATGCAGTTCCGTGTTTAATTTGGACGTTAAGAGCCTCAAATCATACGTAGTATATTGACAATATATTTGGGATACACGGAAATATTACACGGCAGCTTTACAACTCAGTCTAATCCATATTTCATCTTCTGTTCAGAAGACCGACAACACGATCCATAATCGTGCTTATTGAAGTAGTGGAACAGTACCGGGGAGGTTGGATTTGACTCCGCGGTGCCGGGTTCGATTCCTCTCAACGGACAATCTTCCTTCTAACCGCGAATCCCCTTGAGCAAGGAATTAACCCGACGCTGCCTTGGTGCAGCCAGCCAAAAGCGGGAGCTAGTCGTGGAACTCATAAACAACAGGGCAGCATGGTACTTTGGCCAAACCAGAATTGGCGAATAGTTCGGCCATTTTGTTCAGTGCGAACTGCCCTTACAGCTGCACTTTCTCTTGGCCAGTCTGGTAGCCGATGACCAGCAGAATGTGCTGTTGCTATTTTTTTCTTTCCTTTCATTATCTGGAGACAAACATAAACTGTATCAGTTTCCATTCTCCTTTTGGACCAGTTCCTTCGTAAATTTTAATCGGAGTTGCTCTACAAAGTATCGAGGTATATCCACATGCGGATCCACTGCCGAGTTAGCTGATAATTTGCCGGTTCGTATCAGATCTCTTAGGGTTTGAGAGAAAATACATTTTTTAAGCTTTCTCTATCATGCATTTCTATTCCGCTTATGATGAAGCGTAGGGCAAGTTTGATTTACAGAACCGAGTATGTGACTCTGCGCAGTAGAGTGGAATATATCACTAAGGAGAAAAGAGGAGTGATGGAATTACTACCATCTTAGCTGAAAACTATAAACGTAATTTTTCAAAATTAATTTATCCGCTCTTGTAGAGAAAAATTTATCATTAATTTTCACGTGATCATCATGTAATCCTCTAAATTTTCGATTTATACTTTTTTCGCATGCATTTTGTGCTGATCATCGCAATAGATAATGTCCTGTCAGCTGGATGAAAGCAAACTGTAGTCCTAAAGTGTGCTAGCGTCAGAGAGCATGACCGTACCTCTTGCATCTTCTGTTATTACCACACCAGAACAGCTGCATCTGTTGTTCGACATCAAGTCAAGTTGAGTCTACGATTTGCCACCCGTTGTTCTGCTGGTTGCAATAAGAAAAGGTAGATTGGACTCCTTACTTAAGAGGATAAACGATATGAAATTTTGCTTTTTGAGGATTTGTACCAGGTTCCATTGGAGCTCCCTCAATCCTTTGTGCCGCCGTTTCTCGAATGATAATGCTTCTAGCAATATATTAATAAAAGTTTTTGCTTGCAGGCAACAAACCCCTCAAATCACGCTATCATCCAGAGCATCATTCATGTCATCGGTCTGCAGCCGAACGTGCCACAGGTGTGTTGTGCTCCTAACAAGATGGATTCGCTGACACTGTTGTATTTCGATGAAGACCAAAACGTAGTGCTGAAGTCATATCCCAAGATGGTTGTCACTTCTTGTGGCTGTTTGTAGCAACAGTCGTCGCGGCGGTTCCGCCTCTGCCACAAGAACCAATTGCTACCAGAAAGCATCGATCACGTGACAATTTGGCATATTTCAATTGTTGCTTTTTAGTCAGTGCAATTCGCATGAATGGTGATTTGCGATTTTTATATTATCATTGTAATAAAAACATTTTCGTTGTCACCAGTTGTTTTAAACGCATACTTATTCAACGGTTGAGCTTCTCTGATAAGCAAGGAACTTTAAAATGGAAATGTCTTGATTTAAAGTGAAATATCTTCAATGCTACTGACAAGCGACTTTACAATGCAAATGTATGATATACATTTGTAATACAAGCGTATAAAAATGTTTATCATGGCTCTATTCCATTGCTGAAATAAATTTACTTGGAATAACAAGTTACTCTGAATTATTCCACGTCTTTTCGTATTAGAAACAAATTAAAACCCTTATAAATAACACTTCAGGTTTTTGATGCTGGGTCAATATTTATATACAAAACCTGTATAATTAATCTATAACGCTATCGAATAGCGTTAAAAAAGTGTGATTTTCAACAGATTTACGGAATTATTGGCATTTTTTGATCGAGAGATTTTAACGTCAGTTTCCATATTTATTTTCAATGTGAGTTAAATAAAATTATTTCACTGTGCAATCCGCTTCTGAAAGAATGGCTGCAAAAACTCTAGTTAACGAAATATATAATAACCGATATTTTTCCATGTTTTCAAACTCGATATTTTAACTGAAATTAAAAATTCATCTTGATTTACACTCTGCGCACTTAATAAACTACTGATATGGGCTTGAAGATGACCGTTATTGTATGATCAAAATATTGGAGGTAGTAAACGTGTCTTAATTGTGTTCGATCAGATAATCATTGCCTTCTTCGCATTGGCAAAATAGTAAATTAATCAATTAAATGTAATTTGCTTCATCGGTCAATATGATTACAACAAGTTGCCCCGGATAAAGTGCAACAACGAATAAGCGAATAACACACAAGAGGATACACAAAGAATCAGTGAGCAGTTAACGTTATGATAGGAAAAATTACATTTGAAGAATGAATTGTAGAAGAATCGACTCATACTCACACTCGTGATCTAGTAAACGTCCTACGATAAGGGTATAACCAATCGTCTGCTCGCCTCCGTACGAGAGACATCTGAATTTACTTCTGATTGACTGTATTCTACACCTGAAAGTTGCTTGTTCCTCGTGTATGGGATGTTTATGATCGTTCAATAATTTTAGATCAAGTTAAGCCGCGGATTCGACCACTTTTCCAGCGTTTATATCCACTTTTATCTTCAGCTCATAATTACCAAGCAAACCCACAATTTTCATACCTCTCCGTAACACGGACCACTCCTTCTGGGTCAGGTTAATAAAGCTAATTGGCGCCACATATTGTATTAGAGGTCATTAGCATGTTTTGGTGAAAGACTGCAAAACATCTGATGGTACTTGAATTTATCTCAACTGCTGGACAAATGAGGTAGCTTTGGGGAATTTCTAAGCTGCAATCACGATGTGCTTTCCCCAAAGCATGCTTTAATCTAAAACAGCTCCTGGGTACGTGACTTCTGATTTCCTGCAGAGCACATCTTACTCACGACTATTTGATTTTGACCTATGTTAAAAACCGCACCGTTTTTAAAGCGGGCATAATGAAATGCCACATTCTTTAATTTAGACGGATTCAGCTTATGGCCGGCTGTGTTGGCCCAGCTACAGATATTATAAATACTATTACTCTGTCGCGTTTTGTCTTCGTAATTCTTGGGAGATGCCAACTAGAGATATGTCGTCAGTTTATTTTATGCAGGTACCTCCCATTTTGCTTTTGCAGTTAATGTATTAAGGTGATAGCACAGAACCAAATGGCAGTCAAAATTTACAAGGTTTCCAACTCGACTTGAATCATCCTGCTCGGATGCATTGTTCAGTATCACTAAAACCTGTTACCATCATTATAACAGCCTAAAATTGACTCCGACATCCGCCAGGATTTGCAGCAAAGATCTCGTGGAATCGTGTTGTAAACCGAGCTGTGGTCCATAAACGCCAATCGTAAGATCGTATAGTTTTTGTCTAGAATGCGGGTAATCAAGTTAATTAGTACGGCCGGAGTATTAATGGTGACTCTGCTTCGAGTAAATTTGAATTACACGGGGTCAGCATGCACAGCGGTGGCGTCCGATATTTTAGGTTGACAGAGTCTTTTCAGACACTTCATTGCTGAGGAAATAATAATTATCGGCCTTCAATGTTCGGCAAATCGCGGATGTGCTAATTTTCAAATAGGAGGGATTCAAATCCATTGATATGCTTTACGAATAATGTCTTCATGCAAAGGAAACATATTTTGCTGAATGT